GGATTTATTAGAAAATAAATTAGGCATTAATCACCCAATCCGAAAATATTCCGCTTTAGTTTTTAAATATCATGTGGTTCATGCGTCTATTATGGTTTTAAATGCCGATTTTTTTCCTTATTTTTAAAAGACAACTTCCGCACTAGGAATAAATCTTTAGACTTTTTAAACATACATGAAACGGACACAAAGAACACCCAGACTAAAGACCCCATGTCGGGATCGAACCCACATAACTTAGCCCAGTAGGAAGCGGCGAGTTGACCGCTTAAACCACTGAGCCTGCAGTCATAATGAATTACTCAATTACTTCTACAAAGTGCAAAAATAAATATACACACTTCTCAGAATTTCCGTTTTTAGCGCATTATTCGATTTTATAGATTTTAATATTATAGTAACAAGACCTAAATTATGTTTAATACATTTTGTAAGCTAAACAAACAGTGATTTGTTTAAAATCTAAATCTACTTTAGATGGTCGTAAATAACATTTTTGTTATGCTATGTGATCACGCGTTTCGTGACTCCTGCATTACTAAAGTGCAACTAGTACCTCTGTCTAGAGTTTCACACTTGAAAAGGAAGAGATGAAACCCTTATGGGCACTTTATTGTACGTCTGTCTATCTATATTTTTCTGTCAAAAGTCTTTTTTGAAATCGTGTTTAAGTATCAGGTTGAAATTGTTATTAAACTACAACTGTAAAAATAGCCTATGTCTTTCCTCAAGAATCAAAATATCTCCATATCAAATTTCATCTAAATCGGTTAAGCGGTTATTGATTTCCCATACAAACTTCCACCCCCTCTTTTCACCCCTTAAAGGATGATTTCTGGAATAAAAACTAACCTATGTCCTTTCCCAGGACTCGGACTATCTCTATATCAAATTTCATCTATATTTTTTCAGCGGTTTAAGCGTTAAGAGGTAACAGACAGACAGAAGGACAGACAGACATACTTCCGCATTTATATTTTATTACTTCCGCAATATTAGTTAGGATCTACTCGTATATAGTTGCGGGCACTAACAGCTGTAAAAATATCAAGCTTCTAAATCGGGGTCATTAAAAGATGCATCATCATTATCAGCATATCGCAGTCCACTGCTGGACATAGGCCTCTCTCATTGCACGCCACTTAGATCGATTGGAGGCTTCTCGTTAAAGATTCATCATCATCATCATCATCAGCCTATCGCAGTCCACTGCTGGACATAGGCCTCTCCCATTGCACGCCTTCACTTGCACTTCTCGCATCCGTTAAAGATTAACAGTTTTCAAATAAATATTTACGCATTTTTTAATTTGGCAGGTAATCAAAACTCATAAGATTGTCCGTGCTCAGTGGGACACTGACCAATGAGAATCATGAAGAAATAAAAATATAAGGGAAAACTGACCCAAATCTGAAATGGACAGGCTTCGTTCACTCTCGTATTTCAAATCTAACTCCAAATAATTAAACTTAACTAGCTGGCTTGCGCAACTTCGTCTACTTCTTTGAAAAGGAATAAATTTTGCCAGCTTTCGCAACATTTTTCCTTGATACTCGACTCCTATTGTTGTTATATAGGCTATATCCTTCCTCGATAAAAGGGCTATCCAACCCTAAATTACAATACAAGTAGTTCCTAAAACTACCCCGAACATTTAAACTCACACACTTTACCTCTTTATAATATTAGTATAGATTAATTATATTAAATCGCCCTGCAGCAATTGTATTTTGATATAGCTTGAATATATAGATCCGAGTATGTATACACAGCAACGCTATTGAAACAATAATACAAATACTGTTCTATTATTGTTTACCGTAATTGTTATTTTATGAACATATAATGGTTGTTATGTTATACTTTTGTGAGGCTAATAGAAATTTAATTACATTTACGGAACTCAAAAGGATGTGTATTACTCTAGGAGCTAGTTTGCAAATTTGAAAATAAATCAGATCTAAATGAAATGGTATATTCATAATTATTTAAATATTTATTATGTAGTCTTGCTTTAATAGTTTAAATTAGAAATAACGCAAAGTTTATTTATAAATATAGAACAGTTACCTAATGATGTATGATAATTTATCTTTACAGAAAGTAAAAGGATACATTTTAAGTGTTATAGTGGTGTAGAAGGAATTTGAATATTACTAATAAATATATAAAAACAAGTTGTAATTATAGGTATCCCATTAATTATTTGTGTGTGGTCGTTAACCGGATATTTGATGTAAGATATCTTATTCAATATTATTAAAATAGATATTTTGCATTAGATATTTTTTGTATTAGATAGCTGTATTATCCATTATCTACATGCTATGTGCGAAACGATTAATGTCCTCAGTACCTATAGATCAAAAAAGTATAACTGTACATGACTATTATAATTATTATAACGTACGGTAAAGATTAGCATTAAAAATGCTTCAAAAAAAATCAAACTATGGACTCTACACAATGACGAGATGCCTTCAAGATGCCTTTTCCTCCATAAGCTTAAAAGAGATTTAAAAAAGTTACATTTAAATAAGCTAATCCTAGTCTCAGTATCTAATGGCATTATACAGGCACGAGCAGAGCAGTCTTAAATTATATTGAGATAAGTCTACCTCATAAAAGTTAGACAAGAATTGTCACATCCTCATCAATTACATACAATAAATGGTTTTGTGTCTTACCTTGCTCGAGTACTAGGTAATAAAGTTTTTGCAATATAATTCTATTAAAGTTACTTCTTGGATAGATACGAGATATTTTTATTCTTGTAATAATAGTTTTTCGACACATCACACTTTATTTCTGGTTTGGCGACGTGTCATGGTAATAAATTCGGTTTTATAAACAGTTTTTAAATTATCGTGAGCAAGTTCGTATCTTCTGACCTTTTAGCCTGAATGATTTACTTTGTAAAGTATGTATTATAAGGTATGACGTAAGAACATTCTTTGCAGATTGAGAATTGCATTTTGGGATCTTATAAATGCAGTATTTTATTCTCTATGAATATATAATATAATGTTGACATTTAATTTGTCTGATGTTTAAAACAGGTGTAATAAAATGAATTACTATAAGTAACTGAAGACCACAAGAAAATAAATAAAAACCCCTACACTGATGGTTGTCGGCGATTAATTAAAAATATACAATGTTAGCAAGATTTAGCATTCTATATGAATCTCTGCTAGAATTTAGATCAATTACACAGTCTTACTGTTTTCACAAGTCGTGTAATGTAAGCGTTAAAGCTGGTATTATATAAATTGGACACAATTATAAATCATTGTCAAGTGTGTTCCTTGTACTGACGCATACGATGCTGGGGACAGTCGCAAGCACATATGTAGAGTTCCTGTATAGTTAAGGAAGTTCCGTAAAATAGTACTAAATCATAAATAAGCTTCTTTATATAACAGTCTGTAATTGATTGATATCAATGAATAACAAGTTTTTTTACTTGTTGAAACTCCTAGTTTTCACCTCGGGCCTAGTTAGGTGCAGCGTCGATCTGGGGGGACCTGCAATCACATATATATCGACAAGGAGCCGGAGATCCGAAGGAATTTTCCACACCGTCACCAAAAAAAAAAAGGTGTCTTCACCTCAGATGGTTCGGCCTCGGGTTAACATTGAAGTAGTATGACAGTTTAAAGATTAGTTAGTTATTTAGTTTGTACATTAGTAATGTAAAGAATTGGTATCGATTTATTATTTGTATTGGTTCTCGTATGCTTGTCTGCCCATTCTAACATAAAGAAAATAAAGATTAGATTTACTAGTATTTATTACTGTGGTGTATGGTGTGTGATTATAAAATATATTTCTGTTTACTACTTATTATTGCCGTAGATAAAAACATTTTTGTAGGTTTGTTAAGGCCCACTAAATAGGGTCAGTTGATGTATACCGGGAAAATTTATTTTTTCCTTAAAAAAGACAACTCCCGCATAAGAAATATAGCCTATGTCGCGGGGGACTTTACAACGATGAAACGGACACAAAGAACACCCAGACTCAGAACAACAATTTGTGGATTACACAAAGTGCCGTCCCATGTGGGGATCGAACCCACAACATTCAACGCAGTAGAAAACGGCGTGGCGACCGCTTAAAACACCGTGCCATCCGTGTAGTCGTGCAATATACCTTTTTCTTAAAAAAAACTAAATTTGCACAAGTATCATATATAATACCTTAAAAAATTTATTAGATTTCTTGTCTACTACTCCTGTATTAAGTGTTTAGGCTGCGTGTCCCTACATATAACTATATTATTCACTGTACATATATTTAGGTAATTAACATGAAATTGTACTGAATTACTTTTTCCATATTTTTCCTAAAATCAAGACTGAAATTTAGCACGAAACAAATATGTTCATAGTTCATTACTTAAAAAAAAACCAACGACCTTGACACTAAACTGTTAACATAGTGTATTTCTTATTCAAAACCGGATTATGTATTTAAAATGTAACGTTACCTTTCTTAAAAGAAATATTTACATACAAGTTGACCTAAGAATCTTCTCTATATTTTCATTGTTTTTCTGAATAAACAACTATGTCACGAAGTAAATTATGCTATATTTAGATTAATTAAAGCTTAGGTATATTTATATGCTTTTTCAGTTCAATTAATAATGATATTTTTATTTTTACATTTATTTGAAAATATTTAAATACATTAAATATGTTAATATGCCGAACCCATCGGCGGAAAGTTTATTATTATAATATATTATCTATTGCAGCTTCTTAGTCATAAGCTCTAGATATCGTTCGCCACCCAACGAAGTGTAAACGCCAGTCACCGATTAGTTGCGCGTACGCACAGATGCGCCTGCTGTCCCGCTCGAATAAATATAAATCGTATTCCGAATGTGGTTTATGTACGAAAATGTGATTTGAGAATTTTTCTTTTATAATTTTATTTTAAGTGTGAATGATTATGTTGCTAGTGTGTTGATATTGGATTTTTATTTTTTCAACATGAAACACATTTTGTAAGTATGAAATTTATTTCGCGTTTACTTAAAGATAATGAAAATAGTATATTTAAAATTAAGATCATTTGATCATTATTTATTTTGAAGTTATTTTAAATATCAAACCGATGAATTAAAAAAAAAAACACATTCAACTCTACATGTCTTCTTAAACAATGCCTTCTAAATAATACTCCCTAAAGTTGTTTGATCTCTATATAATGAAACTATTCAGCGGACTGTAATTCGTCATATAAGTATTACAAAGGAGGTATTAACAAAATTGCTAATTAAGAATGATGAATGATAATGCAAAAAAAAACGATAATATTATTCGTACATTAAATGGAATTATAACTTGTATTTACGAAGTACAATCTTAAAAAAGATATTAGAATGAAACATCTATAAATAAAATGTAATAATCAAGAATGTTATTTTGGAATTGGTATATTTAACGCTTATGATATTTTCAATTCTAGACATTACATTATTATCTAAGGGGGTATACCGAAGTTCTAAAAGTAATGAAAAATAATTTTAACAAATAGTTTATTTTGCGAGCATATTGAACTTGCTTCTATCCCCAAGTCAAAACGTTTAATACAAAACAGTACCTGAAACAATTTGAGAGTATAATCATATACTGTCAGACCCATGAACGTGCTGGTCACCACAATTAGTAATAAGCTAATAATCTTCGGCGTGATGAACAGATTGGATTAAAATATGTAAATAAGAATATTTTCAATCACCATTCTAACAAATAGCAAAATTAAATGGGAACTGGTCTATCCATTTTGAAGCTATGGTGCTACCAACAGCTAAAATGAAACACCTGTTAAATTCATGTCACTCTTTCTGTTTCAATTGAGAATTAAAAATTAATTGATAAAAACTACGATCACTAAATGATCATTTTACTTATGTTGCAATCTAATAAAATAATAAAATAATTAGATTACTAAAAACTAATAAAATAATTAGATTTTATTAGTTTTTCTGCCGGATTCACTTCTATTACTTCGAACCGATTTCATATTCAAGTAATCGTAAAATTATTTTTAAAATGAATAGTTTAAAGCTGGAATGTTTCATATAAATACAAGGACCATAATAATAAATAAATTACAAAATGGAAATAACTTGCATTGAATTAAAATTGTCTTTGACACAATGGAGAAAATATTACAGTGGAGAATTGTAATAATTAATTGCATACATTTTGTACTACAATAAATAGTACGTAGTTTTATGCCTATGACAATAGTAACCATTAAGAAAACAGCTCATTCAATATCTATAAATACAGTGTGTTAATTTGACGAAATCAATATCGTTTAAACTCAAAGTATATTTTTCTATAGAAAGTGGAAATTTAAGCAATTAATAGTAGTATTCATTGAATTAGAATTATTATATCAACGGATGAATATAACTCTTTACCCATGAACCTGAAAAAATATAACTCCCGCTTTAGGACTATATCCTGTGTCGCGGGGGACTTTACAAACATACATGAAACGGACACAAAGAACACTTAGACTCAGAATAACAATTTATGGATCACACAGGGTCGTCCCATGTAGGGATCGGACCCACAACACTCAGCGTAGTAGTGAGCGGCGTCGCAACCGCTTAAACCACTACTCAAAAATACGCGAAAATTTCAAATCCACTTTCACACATTAAAAGAATAACTGTCTCAATGGCTATGTAATCCTCACTTTAGCACTGTGAAACACATGACAGCGTGTTGTATCCCCTTTCTTGGGTACACACATACTGTAAGATCCTTGAGGCTGTTTCATTACTGTTATTCTAAAACAACAAAACAAAAAATTCTGCCTCAACATTTGGTAGTGTAAAATATATTAAATTTTAAACATACAAGATGATATTCAATACAGTTTATTTTTATCGGCATTTTGGCGCGCGTACAGCAAAATCTAAAATTGCAAGTTCGTTATTTCATATACATTACCGATGCTGTAACCGAAATAAGTTTACCAAATGCATAATGTCAATGCACCTTAAATCGAGAAATGTTTACATTGCATTAAAACTTGGGCACTTACATGACACGATGGTATAGCACACCTTAAACGTAACGGGACTCACGGGCGTCACAAGTTCACAACCACAAAATCTTGTATAAAAACATGAAAGTGAATTTGTTTGTCTGTTTCTTGCGCTTTCATGCCTAAACCACTAAACCGATTAAAACAATAGGCTATTTTTTGCCGCAATAACCGACGTACACGCGGGCGGAGTCTCGGGAACATGTTAGTACACAATATTGCTACATGTTGACCAACCATTTGTTTCTAAAAAATACATAAGTTTCTATAATAACTAGCAAATTTCAGGTAAAATGGAATGTAAATAAACTTAATTAAATACAAATCAATAATATTTAATACAGCAAATAATTGCTAAAAGCAATTTCTTAAAGGAACATTCCAATGGAGTAAGACGATAATAGATCAAAGTAGAAACAAGTAGGTTTGCTGTGAGATGAAGCATAACGTAATGATTGAAAGCCAGGAACAAGATACCTATAAATAACGTAGTCCTATAAAATACTCGCAGAATTGTTAAATTTTATGGTAGTATTAAAATCATAGAAACTTCAAACCAAAGTCTGTTACTTGTGTTATAAAACCGCTGACATGACAGATAAGACAACTTTGTGTAAGCCTTTTGGTGCTTTGCTAGACCCTCAGCAGATTTTTATCGGTATCAGGCAGGTCTTCATCATCAAATTTTTAAGGCATATAAACGAAAGCCGTAAGGGTTTTACTGTTTTTAAATCACATTTTCTTAGTACATCGTAAATACTCCTTTAACTATTATTATGGTTTGGACTCTTAAAATAAGTTGTTGTTGTCTTAAATTGTTCTCTTTGACAAAGCTTAAGGATCAGGGTTTATTGCATCATCTGTTTTACCGTTCAGGTACTAACTAGTGAAGTTCACTACATTTTGTATCACGCAAGTAGCTCATTAAAACCAAATAACATATTATATTCCACGTTTTACGATCAAACAATTGACTGAACATTTAAAAATCATTATTTATCCTAAAGTCAAATAATTAAAATAAGTGAACTGGAAATATATATATATTACTTTTGTAAATTAATAAAAATGACATCAAAGGTAGGTGTTCATTTTTTTATGGTATAGGGGGCAAAGTAGCAGCCTGATGGTAAGCGCCTACCACCATTCAAGGACTCAATTCAAGAGTCACAAGTGCAAGTCGGTTCCCATAACCTTATTCACTCAGTAAAAATAACTCCAGTCGAGCCAACACATTTATGTCGAAGCTTTGCTCTATCACGGTTTTATTTGACATTGTTCTTTCTATCTTGACCAAGATGAGACCTCCGTTATGGAAAGCGCAGTGTGGGACGACCGCTTACCCGATGGACGGACGACCTGGTAAAGGTTGCCGGAAACCGTTGGATTCATTCATTGGAAATCATTGGGAGAGGCCTATGTCCAGCAGTGGACAAGCATAGGCTGAGATGATGATGATGATGATGATAATATTAAACATATATAGAGATAAATTAATATTGATATTAAATCTTTATTGTGTACTTTACGAGTACTATTACAAAGAGAATAAGAGTAGAATGCAAATTTACTTCAATTGAACTTGATTATTCGGACCGTGAGTGATGCACAACTTACAAGTGCAAAACTTGACCATACTTAATTTATTTACTACTAGCTTTTGAGCTTTTGCCCGCGGCTCCGCCCGCTTGTATGTCGGTTATCGCGGTACAAAGCCTACGTCCTTTCTCAAGAATCAAACTATCTTCATACCAAGTTACATATAAATCGCTTCAGCGATTATTGATTCCGGATACAAACTTCCACCTCCCTTTTCACTCCCTTAAAGGATGATAAGGTAACAGACAGACAGACACACTTTCGCATTTATGATATATATTAATAATGCCATAGATAAATTGCTAAGAGCCTCGACCAACATCTCCGGCGGCTCGCGTTAGGCAGCTGGATTAAGGGCCTGATGCAGAAGAAGGCTAAAGCAATTCTTGATACGGCACGTATTGTAAGGAGGTTTCTGTCTCTGGAGTCCTAACCACCGGTATCTTGGTCCCTGTACCCGATACCTAAGGGACACTATTTTTTTTATATTTTTATATGTATTTTGTTTTTTTTTATACATAAATATATTTAAAAATGTAATTTATGTGTATATTTAATAAAATAAAGAGAACATTAATAATTGAATATAATAATGATATAATATAATATTAGTATGGAATATGGATTTGGAAAAGTTAAAAAAAAATTTAGAGATATTGTTCCCTCAACCAATAGTCATACCTATATGGTGTTAGTGACCTAACATTGTTTAATACAGACCCGTGTGTATATTAAATTTTATTCGGAGTTGATACTACAGATATGACAGAAAGGAATGATATGTGGTGTATTGCAACGATGACAAAATTTACGATCGTCTATTTATATTTAACTTTTGCCGTCGCTTACGAACTCGAACATTATTTTTATTATGACGTCATAGTAATGAGTAGTACATCGATAGAAATTGTTGATAAAGGTATATAACGTTGTATATTCCTGTTTTATGTATATCTCTTTATTAAGGCGTTTCATGCAACTGCTGAACTGCTCATAAAGTAGAATCACTAAGAAAATGGAAGCAGCGCTAATAACGTGACCCTTACATTTCTAAGGGCGTTTTATACTACTGGTGAGTGACGTCATAAACGCTCTATGGGTATTTATTTAAAGAAATTTATAATTTAAATATATACTAGGTGCAAGATGGTAAGCTGTTGTGCAAGCAAAATATATAATATCGTCGACAGCCTTTACTAGTCCACTGCTGGATGTAGGCCTCACCTTAGAAAGGAGTATGTATGTAATAAGGAAATGTATGAAGAATTAGAGTTTTGAGGTATTGCAGAGCTATAAACCAATGTTTCTGTTTTTTTACTAGTAGGCAGACACATTGCT